AGACATGATTTTGAGTTGAACATTGTTTAGACATGTTTTGTGTATGTTATGTGTCATGTATGAACCATTTCTTGCAGCAAAATATGCATTTTTTGAACTGTCAAATTTCAGGTCACAAACCAGGTCCAAACTTGTCACATTTTGCATTTTAATTCCAATCTGCCAAACCACTTGTGCATTTCTTATTTTCTCTTATGCAAACCTCTATATATGATGCATATATGATGTTTGTACACTTTTTTCACAAAGCACACCACTACACAATGTTGTTCATATATTCTTGCATTTGGTTGTCACCAAACTTCCCCTACCAATGATTCTATCGGGTTTTCTTGTGAGTTCATGGTATGGAAAAATAAATTGTACCATTGAATTACTTGTTCAAAAAAACACAATTTTCACTTTTGTTTCACCTTATTTGGTTAAGTTTTGACTGAGATCCAATTCTTCATGCAAATGGCCTTAGGTTGCCTTACCTTGCCTTGACCTAATTTTGCCCATTTCATGATCCAACTTCCCATGATCATAACTTGCTCATTTTTATGCTATTGATACCATTCTTTTTGAAAAATAATCATTAACATGTATATTTTCATTTAGTAAAGAAATAATTCAAGGATTGTTATCCTATAAATACTTTGGTCCACTTGAATAACATATGTTTTTAGGGTTTTCTCCATGGTGTTCTTGAATTTTTTTCAACATGTAACTTGATTTTTCTTGTGAGAATTGTCATGTATGATTCAGATATGTTTGTCAAGATGTTTAAATGTTCAAAGTTGTTTGATTCATTTCCTTGCTATGTTCATGCTTGCTTTTGTGAATGCATACATGTGAAAATGGCCCCTTAAACTTCTTTGTGATTCATAACATGATTCTTGATGTCTTAACCTCTTGAATATGTTTTTCATGCCTCATTCTACTTTTTTATATGTATTGTTAGAACCATAACATGTTTAAGGCTTGTTTCTTGCCTTTGTGAATGCTTGAATATGAATGGTATACCTTGAACTTCTTTGTGATTCATAACATGATTTCTGATGTTGTAACCTCTTGAATATGTTTTTCATGCCTTATTCTACTTGTTTATGTGTCTTGTTAGAACCATAACATGCTAGGGTTTGATTGTTGACTTGTTTGTTACCATGAAACTTGCTTACTTTTTCCCATAAAGTCATGAACAAATACTTAAATTGTTGTAACATTTCTTGTGTTTTTTCTTGTTCGATTGTTATCAATACATGTTTAGATGATCTTATGTTGTTGCATCTGATCTCATTTGATCCTTATAACATGCTTGCTTCAAGTTGTAACTTGTTTTCATCAATCTTGTTTGAATGTTACAGATGAACTTGTTGTTGTTACACATGTTCTTCACTTGCACTGATGGTTGTTACCTCTATGTCTTTATGTTGATCTTGACTATTATTCATATGTTGTTACATGTTCATGCTTATTTCTTTAACTTTTTTAAGCCTTCCCCAAATGATGGAACTTATTAGTTCTCATCCAGTTGCCTCATCTTTCTCCTATTCTAAAGGAAAGTTTCTTCATTGACCCCTAGGGTCATAGATAGCTCATTACCCTCCCTTTGACTTTGTTAAGTCATCTTGAACCCTAGATTAGTTAAGTTAGAATCTATTAGCCATTAGACTTTTCTTAAGTCCAAAAGACCCACCTTTACTAGAAGTGTTCTTCAACTAGGACCGTAGGTTAGAGTTTGTCAACTCTATGTAAGGATCATTGTCATGATTACTTACTCCCCTCCTGGATTTTGTCAAAGTCAAATCCCCTCGAGTGTATCACTTAGAATAGAGAGTTTTGTTAAACTCTATACAAGAATTGTTATATTTGTTCCCATTTGAACCTTGATCATAATCAAGTGTTCATCCACCCTCGGTGAGGTGAACTACGATTGTTCTGATTCTATCCTAGTCAGGATACATAGGCAGAAGATGCGATATCTTTGCGAGCAAACTTAGGAACATTAACCTTAAGTCTTTACCTCAAAACCCCAACCTTGACCCCAAACCATATCAAGTAGTATAACATACCACATACAAAAGGTTCATGTAGAGTACTACAGATGTTTAGGATGTGAGATACCTACCCTAAGCATAACCAACCCCCGATCCCTGAATCTCTTAGTGTTGTTGTTACATCGTGCAAAAGGTTTTTCTTTCTTTAACCTTTCCTTGGGATAAATCAAAGTACGATCGTGAATTTAATGAATTAAGATTCAAGTTAATCAATAGCTTGACATTCGATTCTCACCCAACACGATGCAAGTTTTGAAATTGAAATTATTATTGAAATAATATTCTGATGTACAGTGAATGAATCACTGGTTAGCATGCAATGTTGATTTAGACATTCAAGGTGTGAAAGATGATGCGAGAGCATGATACCAACATAAATGATTAGAAAATATATTTGGATTCAGGTTAACGTAACCTTATTGTGGTATGCTTTCAAAATAAGTCTTACTTCAATTAGGTCTTTTGTGGATTGTAATGTGGCATGATTCACAATTTTTTAACAAAAGGATATAAGGCTCAAAAAATTTAATTTTAACCCACCCATTCTTTTTATGATGATCTTCACTCTTACATTCAGTTAATTTGATACACACATTCAACTTCCAAGAGGATTTTGAAGGTGAAGATGCGATGGTTCGGGAATCAATGAAGTTTTTTTTACTTTAGGTAGCAGTCACCCACTTTTGTTTGTTTCTTTCTTTTTTTTAGTATGATGTTCACATCCTCTTGTTATTTTTCATTAAGGGTTTTGGTGAGCCCTTTCGATTTTTTTTGCCTATTTTTTCTTTGATTTTTTTTGGAACAATTTGTATGAAATTTATTCTTTTGTTTTGAAAAGGGTTGTGAGTGTCGTGTTAATGATTGGTGAGGAACAACCAATGTGAAATTTTTGGATTTTCATTACTTTTTCAACACTTCATGACATGTGCGAGGAAGAAAATGTGGTTTAACTTTAGATGTGATGTTTTCTCTTGAAGTTTGCATGCATAATCAAATTAACTGAAAAACTACCATGCCCCTCGTTTGGATTAAGGGTTTTTGATACAGGAAGAAATACCAACTTCTAAGCTCAAAAAGGTTGATTGGGGATTAACTCCTTAATGTTTGGGAAGTGAAATAATGCCTTACTTCATCAACAAAGTTTTATTTAAAAGCATACTTTAGCAACTTAGGGTATTTTTTTACATCATCCTCCATCCAATCTTTGCTTAAATAAAAGTAGACAAAGGAAAGAGTGAAATAAAGAAACATTGATATATATTTTTTGCAAGTAAATCATGATGGTATACAAAAGAGTGAACATGAAAGAATTGATTCCAAAGATGTCTGCTTATTTTATTAATATTACCATTCGAAAGCAACAAGTTTAAAAACAAATATCACTTAGCAAACAAGGAAATTACAAATGAAAATGATAACATGGCCTAATGATCATCAGCTTCGAGGATGAGCTTTCCTGTTTGATTCACCGACTTTATAAGGTGCTTCCTGAAGTCTTCGCACTCATCCGGATGAGGGGTTGTTCATATCATTAGGGCCTTCTTCCTTGAAGGTTAATTTATTTTTGTCAATAAGTTCTTGTACCTTAATTTTGAAAGCTCTGCAATTCTCAATAGTATGTCATACTAATCCATCACACTTAGAATTTACATCAAACCTAGATGAGTCTGGAGGCGTCAAAGGCCTGAGTGATTTGGGCTCAACCATTGCCTTCTGGATCAAATAGGGTAACAATTGTTTGTAGGACATAAGCATGGGATCAACATGAGGATTCATCCTCTCCTGATTATTCTAAGGTTTAACCTGATCTTGATTCTGGTTCTGATAATTGTGATTCTAAATTTAAGAAGGATTGGACCAAGGTTGCTGGTACAGAGGTCGTGAAAGCAAAGGTTGAGGAGGATATCCAAGAGGAGGACCATACACCGAATAATGAGTGGTTGTTACAGGGGATTGTCATCGATCTGGGGGGATACCGGTCATGTGTTGAGGGGTAACCATTTCTGCTGTATCAATTAAGGAAGGGTTTCCTTCGCTCCTTAATAAAATTTACAGGGCTTCCATGACCATACCTATCCAGCTTTTCAATTGGTTGGCCTCCTTTATTAACAATTCCCGACCTCGCTAAAGTTCATTCATAATTCTTCTAAAGGTGTTCCAAGTTCCAAGTGAGTGTTGAGACATCATCTTGTTGGTTATGGATTAACATCATCTTGTCAAAAACCTTATTCAAACAACTAGATAGCAATTTTGAAACAATCTTATAGATGGATCCAATTAGGAATATTCGCCTAAAATCCTCAAGCCCCTGCGAATTGTCAATCTTTCATATTAAGGAAATAAAAGATAAGGCCATTGCTTTGGGGAGGGTTGCATTCGAATGAAACTTCAAGATGCAATTAGTAACGTCAGCTCCAACGACATCTCAATAAGACTTTAGGAAATCAAAGTTAAAGTCGTCGGGTCCCTGACTTTTGTTACCATCACAGTTGAAGACAATAGTGCGTATTTCATCAACACAAAAAGGTTCCTCCAGATGTGAAGTTTGAACAGGTGAAATCTTGGGCAAGTCATCAAAATTCATTCTTGGTCGAGGCAAATCAGGCTTTGAGAACCTATTAGCAAAATAATCCTTTGAGGCTTTTTTGATAGAGTTGATATCTTCGAAAATATCATCACCTGATTTTAGGGCAGTGGTAGCATTTCGTCTGGATCAACATTTTAAAAAAGAGTGAAAGTATTACGTATTTAGATCGCCCTCACAAATCCATTTTTCTCACCTTTTGCATAATCATACTTGCCTTCACCAACAATATATTCCAAAAGGCTTCTTGGGCAGCAGTCTTGCAGATAAGGTCACTATCGGATATAGCTTTCACAGACCATGCTAGATCATCTTTTACTTTATTCAGGTTGGCAACCTCAGCCTTAATTCTTAGGTCAACCAATCCGAAAACATTCTTATTCCACCACCGTAATTGCAGTCTCATATTTTTTTAATTTCTTCGCAAGCACATGCGCTGCACTACCAACAAAATGAGAAGAGTTCCCAATTTTCTTAACGAAGTCGTGGAAATCAGGATGATCGAACCTGCATTTGAATACTTTGAATGGTTTTGGACCCCAGTTTAAGTGATTAGCTTTAATCCACACAGGCCTATGGTCGGAGACGTCTTTATCACCCATACATTGAGCAGAAATTTTCCAACTGTCAATTAAACCATCTGATAGTAGGAACCTGTCTAATCTACTTCGACAACTTCCGCTGCTATTGAACCAAGTAAAGCAGTTGCCAACATCCGGGAGATCCACCAAACGCATAGCGTCAATGAATGAACAAAATTCATTCATCTCAGCAGTACAACATGCTGTTCTACTATGTCTTTCCTCGTTTCTTTTAACTACATCGAAGTCACCACTTACAAGCCATTCCCCATAAGATGACGAAGATCTTAAGTTTATTAAATAGGACCAGAGAATCCTTTTGTTATGTAAGTTGCAGGGTGAGTAAATGTTGACAAAATAACAGTTAAGACCCTTCCAAGTGGAATTGATCCCCAAGAAGACCTTACCTCTGAAGCTTGAGATAGGGTAGATGATGTCTTTCTTCCATATTGTAAGGATACCTTCAAAAATCCCGATAGCATTAGTAGTTGACCATTCAAATCCTTTTTTCCCAAAATGGAAGAGACCATTGTCCATCTTCTCCTTCTTAGTTTCTTGGATGAAGCAGATATCCACATTTCCAGAGATGAGTAATTTCTTTATTCTATTTCTTTTGATGGAATTCCCACACTCGTGGATATTATAAGCTAACACATTCATGGAATATTGATAGCTTCCTCCCTCATGTTGTCAAAAGCTCTAATATCGTTGCATTCCATGCCGTAAATAATGCCTTCGAATACTTCATCGTTTTCGTCTCCCTCGATTCCTAGTTCCTTAATTGTTTCCCAAATCTTTTAAGGGACGTCCTCCATGTTTCGCTTCACACGAGAATTAACTTGATTTATGTATGAATAATTAATTGAATAACAACAAAGAACTGAGCCACCAGAGTATCTTGACGAAGAGTCTGCTATGGAGGAGGATGGTATCACAAGTTTGGGTGGAGAAATGTTGATAAGTGGAGTTGGAGGTAAGGAAATAATGGGATGAGAGCAGTTAGAAAGGATAAGATGAGAGAAGTATGATGGTGAAAAGGGGATATTTATGTTATCCTAAATGTCGTTAATTAATTTCTTTTTCTTTGGTATAGGCCCTCCAACAAGTAAACGCGACCCACAAGGTGTACATGTTATAGGATCAGAACATCCTATAACACCCATAACAGATCTATATGCCACTTGCCTAACAACTAAATTAGACATTTTATGAGCGTGTACGAGAACAAATGTCATTATAGCATTGTTATGATTGTTTGCAATTAATGATTTATCCCCATGTCGCTACGCAAAAAACAACTGGCAAAGACACAGAGTCGCCATCCAACTTTGTTTATCCCAACGGGGAAAGGAAAACATCAAGAAAACCTCATAAGGGAAAGAAAATGGTCTCGCACCTAAATTTAGGGTTTGGGAGTCGATTACGCTAGAGGAAGGTATTAACATCCCTCGTTTCTGTTATACTCAACGTGATCCACTCTTGTTGTTCTAATCAAAGGGTGTGTATATCTAAAGACTTAATTGTTAAGGCAATGCATTAATGAAAAGGGAAAACAAAAGGGGCTTGCCAGAATCTCACAATCCTATGCCTACATATTCCCTCGTGTACTGGAAAAGTCAGAGTAATCATAGTTCGGAGGACTACAGTGAATAAGGGAGGTTGCTCGCCAAGGATTGAGACCCTTGTGCTTACGTATTCTCAACAAGAATTAGAAATCATAGTGTATGTAGTTCGTGGGACTACGGGTTGTTGGGTGTTTTTTTATGGACGGTGCTAACGTTTGCATTTTAGCAGTTAGGTTTTGCCGCTCGCACGTGAGGAGACTTACGCTTTAGCATGTATTTCGGTAGAACAGAAATAACATACCCTTTCTGAAAAAATATTGAAGAGAAAATCCTGAAGGATAAAATGATTTGGATTTGTTGAAGTGTTTTGTTAAGGTTTTGAAAAGAGTTTGAGAAGAGAATATTTTATACAAATGATTCAAACATCTCACATATAAAATACTTTAAAAAGAGGTTAGGAAAACTCCTGCTCATCTTTTTCCCATGTACTTAAGGCTCATAACGTATTATATGTATCGTATTTATTAAGTGTTTTTGGATTTTGATACAAGAAAAGAATTGGATGCGAAAAGAAATAAAATCTAGGGGAACTAGATCCTAAATGATATCTGCCAAATGGTCCTAAGGTTAGGATCAGAGGGAAATAGACCTAAAGTTATCATGCAAAGATGGTCCTAAGTTGAGGATCAAGGGAAACTTTAGCTTAATATTATCATGATTGGATTAGAACGTAATGTCTATCCTACTTCAAGCTTAATCAAAGATTAAGTTGAACTATGAAACCCTAAGGGAGAGTACAAAAGCAACAAGCAAGCAAGCTAAGAGAATTCATAAATAATAACACGCATCAACAAGTCAGAGCAACAAGTTCAAGCAAGCCAATTTTAACATGCAATCGAGTAATCCATGAAACTTAAACAAACAAACAATTTCGACATGTAGACAAGTTGATCATAAATCCAAGTAGGTACCGCAAATGATGTTAAATAGTTTAAGAAATATCCGCAAATACCAATCATATCAACCAATGAAGGATAGAAGTGGAACGAGATCAAAACAACCCCAAAACAAAAAGAAAATAAAAAAATGCATCAGGTGTAACCAGTTACCTGAATCTGGGTAATCGGTTACATCATACACAAAACCAGTTACCAGGGTACGCGACAAGCATGTAACCGGTTACCTGAATCTGCATAACCAATTACACTGTGTGAAAATAGCAAAAATAGAGCTGAAAAGGCACTTTTACAAAATGACTTATTTGTTTAATCTCAAAATGCTAAGGCATGCAATTGGACACGAAAATCACAACAATTATGAACAAACAAATGCCAATATAACCAAGCATGCAAACGAATGAATCAATTAACACAAATATTAACACACAAATCACAAGAGACTACATTGTGAAAATTGCAAATTAAGCTAAAACAGTGTTAGATCCAAAAATTACCAACCTACAAAGCTGAGATTTGCCTTGGTGCTTGTTGTAAACAAAAAATGATGGGAAAACAGAGATCCAAAGAGTTTCTCACAAGAAAATGGAAGAACAATTATAATAAAAACACCAAATCTGAATTTGCTTCATAACCACTTCAAGAACTAAATTCCAAATCTTAGATCTACTGGAAAATCTTCTTATATTGCAGAAGTTGATGTTGAGGAAGTGATTTGATGAAAACTGAGCTGCAAGATTAACAAGCTTCAATAAAAAGCTTATTAAATTTAATGGTGGAGCTTTGGTAAGGTTAGGGAAGATGATTAAAATGGAGAGAGTGAGTGAAAAACTAAGCAAAAGTGAGTGAGAATCAAGAGTGTGATGTGTATAAAATTCAAAATTTTGGTGAAAAACTGATTCTCCTTTGCAAAAGTGAGAGAGGTTTGCTTAAATAGAAACTAGTTATGAAGCAAAATATGGCTTGGAACATGGTTCTAAGTGAGGTTTTGGTTTAGGTATGGAATTAGTTAGACTCAACTCAGTTAGTTATGAGTTGACTCGGTTAGGGCTCAAATGCAAATCACAAGATCAATTGGTTTTAAAATGAGGGGAAATGTGGAAATGTGGGGGAAATGGTGGGATTTATTTGAAATAAAGTGGGGGAAATGTGGAAATGATCTTTTCTGTGGTATTGCATGTTCTGGAATATTCCATTGGTACATGCGTGAAACATGAAAATGGATTAGAGTGATAGCTGTTGTAGTACTTAAAAACCACTGATTTTAGCAAAATTGCACAGGTGTAACCGGTTACATGAAATAGAGTAACCGGTTGCATGTTTGAAAACCTGACTTTTGGCGCCTTTTGGAGGGGATGTAACCGATTACCTGAATCTGGGTAACCAGTTACATCATTACAAAAATGAGAAAAATGCCCTGTTGCAACCTGTTATGGGCGTGGCTTCGTATTTGAAACTTAGCATTTGATATTGACCTTAAATAATGCTTAAAATATGATGAGTACCCTGTCTTGAACCCAGAATATCCTCAGGCTTGCTTGAATTACAAGAAATCTCATATAGTTTCTGAGCAAATTAAATGTTAGAGATTTCTGATGCTGTTGATTTAGCTTTGAACACCAGAATTAACATTCTTGTCTTGAACATAATGGAGATGCATATGAATGAATAGCAGAAATCTGCTAGGGTAAGAGGCAGTAAGGAAAATTTTGAGGTGCAACAGTTGCCCCTATTCAATCAACTTAAATCCGAAGGTATAAAGAGCAATGACTTTCAAACATTCGAGGTAGAATGAGATTGAATACCAAAAGAACCATAAAATTTGCAATTTTGGGGTAAAAGAAAATTGTAGTGATGTGGTAACCTTTTTGTTTTTTGGTGAAAAGGTTTACGATGAGTGGATGTAGTTAATCAATGGTAACTAGTAATAGGGTATCGGTAAAAATGAAATGTAATATAGAAGAAAGGCAAGATCAACGGATCTACGACCCAAAGGAAGATAAAAAGAGGTAAAATTGAATCTATAACTTAAAGGGAAATACCAAGGTAGTGAGATCAACGGATCTACAAACCAAAAGCTAGGAAACAGGAAGTAGGATCAACAGATCTATGACCCAAAGGGTAGAGAGAAGTAAGATCAACGGGTTTACGTCTTAAAAGAAAAGATCAACAGATCTATGGGAAGGAAGTAGGATCAACGAATCTATGACCCCAAAAGGTGGAGAGAAGTAAGATCAACGAATCTACGACTCCAAAGAAAAGATCAACGGATCTATGGAAAGAAAGTTGGATCAATATATCTATAACCCAAAGGTGGAGAGAAGTAAGATCAATGGATCTACAACTCCAAAGAAAAGATCAGCAGATATATGGAAATGAAGTAGGATCAACAGATCTATGACTCCAAAAGGTAGAGATAAGAAAGATCAACGGATTTATGACTCAAAATAAAAGATCAACGAATATATGGAAAGAAAGTAGGATCAACGGATCTACAACCCAATGGTGGAGAGAAGTAAGATCAACGGATCTATGACCACAAAGCTTGGGAATAGGAAGTAAGATCAATGGATCTACTACCCGTAAGATGGAGAGAAGTAATATCAACGGATTTACAACTCAAAAGCTATGGAATAGGAAGTAAGATCAACGAATTTACTACCTAGAAAAAATCTAACAAGGAATAGGATCGCGAATCTACATCCTAAAAGAAAGAGACCAGATCAACAGATCTAAACACAGGAAGTAAAATCAACGAATTTACAATCTCGAAAAACTGTGAATAGAAAGGTGATTCCACATGGGAAACAAAGAGTAAACATAGGGTAAGATTAACGAATTTATGACCTTGGGGATTGATTGAAATATTTGTTAGGGAATAGGCTCAACATTCTCTATGAGGATATGTCATTGTCATGATTGAGGATTTGATTCAGGCTTTCGTGCAAGGTACCAAAACCGGCTTATACTTCGTATGCATGTTTGAATCTTTCCATGGCGTAATGCTCCATATTAAAATGGGGATGCTACGTGTTTGATAGATGAAATGTAATAATGATTACTATATGCAAGAAAGAAATGAGATAACACTCCCCTAGGGAATGCACCGAAAATATCAAGCAATTTTGTTGGAGAAGGG